TAGCCTTCCTATACATACAATATGTGATACTTTCCTCCAAACCATCAATGCAATTGCAATTCAATATCCAGCCCCTCCACATGAGGCCAGGCCGTGATTTCTGGACTTAACCTCCTGCTAGCACTCCCTCTACCACTCACCCGCTCCCCAACGTCACAATCACATAGACATTCGCGACCACGATCACCATCCAAATGCCAAATGCCAACAACGTCACAATCAAGTTGTTGCTATAATCCAGCACGGTGTCCTCTGGTTGAGACTCGAGCTCTTTCTCCTCTCTATCTTTTTCGTCATGATCTCCGACTCTTTCTCCACCCCCATGAATAGGCAGAGTTGCATGAACCAGACCACCCAAGTCATCATGGTTCGTAGCACCACTGTTGGCCCTCGGATTCGCCCTAGATGCTGGTACTTTCACACACATGATGGATTTCTTCGAGGTCAAATAAACCAATGGGAAGGAGATAAATGGCAGCACGACGGAGAGTACGACTTGGGAAGCGATGAGTAAGGCGTCGATCCCTGGTCGGCCTAGAGCGATAGCGACGGCCATTGACGGGATTACAGCGATCAGTCGGGTGAGGAGGCGACGGAAGATAGGCTGGATTGTTTTTTTAATGCAAAGAGTTGGAATGGGATTTAGATACGTTGGAATGACTAGACAACATGATGCAAGAAAGGACTTACGGAAACCCTCCAACGAATGAACCCTTCAGCAACTGCTTGACCCGCTACGGTAGCAATAATAGACGAGCTCTATAAATCCAAATCAAACAAAAGCGTTTTTTAAATTGGATTAGGTGAATAAACCAGAACATATACGAGAATTCATTAAAACACATACCTGCCCAGCAAACAAAAGTGCCAACGCGAAAATCGTCGCAGCTCCTAAACGATCAATTTTTAGATATTGCATTCAATGGTTGCCCAAGATTCGAATGGAAGACGTACCCGGCCCAACCAACTCTTTAATCAAATCATACGCATCAAACAGACCTGCATCGCCTGCACCGTCGACATTGCCATAGAAAAACACTGCCGATGCGAGAATCAAGATCCTTTTTTGTTGTTGTCCGAGTCAATCCAGATGGTCGAGTAGTAAGTTCATAGTCATTGCCAGTGATTAAAGAAGAAAAAGAAAAAAGTCAGGTCAGTAAATCCATTTTGAAGCGTCTCGGGTCGATTGTGAATTGTGAAAACCAAAAAAAACTCACAAACTGTTAATGACTACCGCAAACCCCAACAAACTCATCACGACATCCACCGTTCCATGGTAAATATGACTCTTCACAAACTCTCCCGAATTGTTTTCCCAATCAGCGTATCTATCCACCTGTTCTTTCAAAGTTGGAGGAGGGACGCGGAACGATGTTTCGAATGAGTGACGGAGGAAGGAGTACGTTCTTCTCAGGAAGTTGGTCAGGAAACGACTCAACCGACTCGGAGAAGAGGACGAAGAAGAGGAAGATGCTGTGGAAGAAGCCGTGTCCTGTTTCGAAAGAGGACCTATGAATAATAAAGAGGACGAAGCAGTAGATGAACGTGTTGGTTGAGGTCGACTGATGGCATGAGTTTGCGTATTGGTAGTAGAGACGTTAGTCTCAGCGTTATTGTCAGAAGACTCGGAGTTAACCCCGGCTCGGTCTTGCGTAGCTAAGGCTGATCCAAGGAACAAACTGTGTGGCATGATAGTGGCACCTATGATTCCTACGGCTGTCGGACAAAGAGAGAAACAGAAACGGAAGAGTCAGTTCGATCCAGTGTAGTGAGGGTTAAAATAGAAAAACAGCAATAAAATGAAAAGACAACGTAAAGACCGTGAATCACGATGTATAACGCATGGTGATCAACGGCCGTGAATCAAAACTTGAGTTCGGAAGGACGGAAGATACTCGGGATATCTCAAACAAGAAACAAGACGAGAGATACTTACAAATATACCCAGCACCGTTCGGAAACACGTATTTTGACGGGAGGTATCCTTCGAAAGTATCGCCCCAGTTGATATTGAGTTTGGAGATGATGATACACATGCAGACCATAACGGATAAGACCTGTAAAATTGGAAAAATTGGGAATGAGGTTAGATAGATCAAAAGGTGATGGAAGAGAGGGGACGTAAGGTGTGTAACGAATTATTAAAAAAGAGGGAGAAAGAGAGGGATGGGATAAAAATAGTCTCTTCACCGTGACCCAAATTTAACCAAAAAAGAAAAGAAAGGAGAAAACAATAGATATATAGGACTAACCAATGCCCCAATAAGCAACTCGAACCACTTCAACGGTTTTCCCCTCAACGGATCGCCCAAACAGAGCAAAAACACAACATCGCAAGTCGTGATCAACACTCCGTGCCATAGCTCGAGTTTCGGGAAGAGCAAGCACAGGGCTACGGCGGAACCCAGAAGTTCTGCGAGGTCCGTAGCGATGATCGCGATCTCGGATAAGGCGTAAAGGGGGTACAAAAGTGACCATCGAACAAGGCGAGGATGGGTTGGGTGAGAGTAGAGAAGAAGACGGCAGTGAGAGGCAAGGTCTGAATGGAAGGAGTAGGGAAAAGTAAAGGGTTGGTTAGTCCAAGTCGAGCGGTATAGACAAGTAAAGGAAAAAGAAACATAAAAAGAAGACTGTGATGGTCCCCGAAAAAGAAGAAACGGAGAGAATTTTGTGTAAGCAACTTCTTCTCCGAGTCTTTGGTATGGTATCTCTCTTTTTCATTCGTTGCCAGATCGGCGCTTGCGAACGAATAGCTTGATATGAAAAGGCCCTTCAAACCGTGCTACAATCGTGATATAGATGTAGGTTGGGGGATCGGAATCGGAAGCAAAGAAAAAAATAAAACAAAAATAAACTTCGATCGGACTCACCCAATCCCGTCACACAACCCAAACGACTAGCCAGAACCTAAACCACAAACAAAACAGAATGGGTCAGTCACAAAAAACAATCAAACTGATTATTAAACTCGAGAGAGAAGGCCGTAACGCAAAATGGAAAATATCCAACTCTAACGTACCTGTAGCAGAATAGCAAATAATCCCGAGAGAAGAATGACGAATAACAGCCTGTACCCGAATTTAGATCCCGCTTCCAAATCGACACCCCAGTTTCCGCTGTAACAAGAAAAGGTTGAGACAAGAAAAGTCAGTGTAATGTTCAGATATACGCAACATGCCCCTTGGTGCACCAAAAGCTGGAAAATGTAAACTTACGGATCAAAGTATGCCACTGCACAGATTAACCCGACTCCTACGTGTCGCCTTAGATGGTGGAAAGAGAGATAAACCGCCTTTTGGAGATGGTTCTTCCAAGTACGCATCGGTCTCGCTGTTGTTGAAGTCCTGCCTTGGACTTCGCCACGGTCTTCAAATCGAGTATTTCGCTCCATAAATCCGGCCAGCGGGCAAGTCTAGACCCAAAAGCTCTACTTGTAGGGGTTTTTGTCGGAAGAAGTTACTTCGACGGCCTATATAGAAAGGGGGGAAGGCTTGAGCTTTTGAACAGATGCTTGGTGATGGGTGGAAAAGGAAGGGGATAACGAGAAAGATGCTCTCCAAACGCCCAGCTTATAAGTGGAAGCGTACGGAGCGGAGACAGAACCAAAACCACAAGGAAGGCGATAAACCCAACACACTGGACATGATCAACCAATAGTCCCTTAACCTTGCTGAGGTCATTGAAACCGTATTGGTGGTACCGTAGTCACGTGCATTTGATTCATTCGTTTTGCCGGGAGGAGGAACCGAGATCGTCCGGTATTTTCAGACCTGGCCTCAGGACTCAGGCGTTTCACTGTCCAAAACGTCTAGCCTCTGATCTATAGTTAGTGGCATTCACTTAGTGGCTGTTGGCAACTTGAGAAGAGGTGAGGCAAATAACTTATTTGATGGGTTTTCTTTTCTTTTCTTTCTCTTTTTATTTAATTTTACGGAGTCTACAAACGCGTACGTTCTCGGAAACGACACCCCGTAACGTAAAGAAATATAAACACCAAAACCGGCCAGTGATCAACCTGACCGAAATCCTTTGAAGAGTTAAAAAATCGATTAATTACTTATACATCACTCTGTAACTCAGCTAGTGATGTGCATCGATTATGAACGATCACCATCAATGTTTGAATCTCGGTCCTGAGTTAGGAGGAAAAAGATTTTAATATCTGCGCGAAGGAAGAACTTCGAGGCAGGGTGGTGATATGTACCACTCGATTGGATTCCGCAGAGTTAAAAGTGTGCGTGTGCTGTGCCCGTGTGTGCGAGCGCGTGCCTGCGTTACACTAACATTACAATGAAAACAATCCGATCCGAAACAAAGCTGGCGGTAAACTTTTCACCTCTACAGCATTTGTCACAATTCTTGATGTATCGAGCTTTGTCGCGGATAGGTCCATACTTGGTGAGATATAAGCGTGTTTGTGGTAAGATACCCTTCTAAGGCGGCGCATACCTTTCCATCTTGCGTACCTATGCAATATATTAGAGTATGTCTTCGGAGAGGATTTTTAGGCCGGAAAGTTCCATGAAAAAGTATGCCTCATGGGAAGTAATAGGAACCAAGAGAAAAATCTATACTTGGACGAAATCGGCACGGGTTTTTGCGCGCATGAGTTAGACCTGAAAAAGAAAAGAGAACTTGGTGGTTACATTTAGTATGTATTTGGCAATACATGTATAACTACTTATGTCTGTATATGTACTGCCAAGCTTCTAAGACAAGACCTTTGTATAACAACGTACTAGTGCGCATGAATGATCTAGACTTCTTTATACACAACGACATGCATCATGTCAACAAAAACTCTCCACAGTCAATGTACCGAAACTTTGGGAGAAAGCATGATTTTGGATTAGTGAGGTTGCATACGTAAAATTGAACTGAGTCACCCCTCACAATAGAGACCTCAACGTGACATGACGAAGATCGGGGTAAGTACTTACCAAAATGTCAATTCGGGAAGCTCGGACGAGTTTCCACGAAGAGCGACCACAAAAACAGCCTGCATTAAGAGGGAATCGAACCCCCGGCGGGTCGAGATACATATGGCAACGACCCAGGTTACCACTACCCCATTAATGCTTGTTTGAGTCTATGATTTTGTTGACAAGAAAAAACAACAGACTCGAGAGCAGAAAAGCCTTGAAAAATAAGGGCTCGATAGGTTCAGTTCTTGATACTCAAATGAAGCCCATTTAATTGCTACTGACGCAATGGACACCCTAAATTCGCGAGATTCTGCTACGCACCTGATTGGTTCGAAGCAGAAGTTCAACTGCGCTTCAGACCAACATGCTTCTGTGCGACCGTCACTTGCGACATGTCTATCATCACAAAGAAGTTTCAGTCTAACCATCGCCAAGAACGAAGGATGCGGGGACTTTATAGAGATTGTTAAGATTCGCGGGACGGTCGAAAACGCCTCAAGGTGTCCTATACAGTATATGCATGCCAATCGATGATAACCAGGATTTCAAGGAAGTAGCTCCACAAGTACTAGCAAGAAGAGTTTAACCAATCACACTGAACGCGTACCGTACATTACTGTAGAGCCCTGAGACCTGGGGCAGGTACTTTCTGTAACACTTTCAAGAGCGCGTCGATAGATGCGTTTTTCGAAACATTGTCATGTCAAGTATTTTATTTGTATGTGTCACTGCTTTAGAAATATCTTTGGTTCGTCTTTGCAAATCTGCCTTGTTATCTTAAAAACCCTGAGTAAGGCAAGCCATTTCTCTAATGATCATACATTTTGGCCGATAGATAGCACTTTGTGCCCAAATTAAGATATTTTGGATTAATCGGTAACATCAAAAAAGAATTGGGGAATTTGTCTTCAGATCCAAGACCCCGAGATCCACTTTCTCAGCGATAATACTACTTAAATGAAGCCTGACGCGAATACAAATGTGTTGATAAAGTGAACGGACCCACCAGCTCGGGTTATGCGATCGGTTGACACCCTAAGAAGCTTCAACCGGTTCTTTAGTCTTCAGACTTCTGTGCCTAACGCCGCAGAGAAGAGCCGGTCCGAGCGTGGGCAGATCTCGGATGCGGAAAAAAATGGTAGTAAGTTCTAGGAGCTCCAAGACCTCACATCCATCTGGATGCAAATGGCTAGTCCCTAAAATTTCAAAGAAGTGGTTGCGTACATACGAGTACAAGTCACAGTGAATGCGTTTGTTGCGAGGTCTCTGATCAGAGATGCGATCATGAGGCAGTTGTCTCTGTAGGCCTTGGGTCAACGTTGTGAGCGATGGTGCGTGTAGTCCAGTCAGACCCGGATATGTGTTACGTTTTGACAGATAAATTGGTGTCATACTCTAATTATAATACTATGATAGTACCCAACTTGACATCTAACAGGGATTTTCAAAAGGGCCAGCGTCGAGCAGAGACTTAAAAAATCTAAAAATCAATTTTAGTAGTAATACTAAAAACAAATTGTTCACCTCATTAACGCAGTTGTGTCAATGTCATTGGGTCGATCTGTGCACCCGATTTGCTCTAATTATTCTGTTTGGCCTTCAACGTGCAATTGGTGCCTCATATTTCACGCCTGGCGCCACAAAAAATTTCTACTCCAACCACTGCCAAGACGCGGTGACTATAGAGGATGTAAGAGGGGGGCAAGCTCTAGTTTTCTTCAGCTTCTGTGTTCGATGTCACGAGAGAAATTTCAAATCCGACCATGATCAAGACATGGAGACTATAGAGCACGTTAGAGGGTTGTCAGGCCGAGTTCGTTCAGCTTCTGGAAGCCACAAGGAATGTTTGTTCTAAACATGACAAAAATGGGGACCTCAGGTTCTAGCGTAACAATGGCGTGTACGAGCATGACTATGCCTTTTATCAGTGCTAGTACAAGTTGTATTTTGGTTGTGTAACTTTAGTATCGATGAGGTGTTTAGGAGCTAAGTCTTTTCATAAGCCTGAACTGATATGTATTTACTACGGTGAAATGCATTTAGAGTGTATAAGTATGTTTGGATAACTACTGCGAGGATAAATTTATTTTATGAATAGATGTAGTTCCAGCGGTGTGTACCAGGTGCATATTAGGTGCGTACAAGGTGTGTACTGCATACAACTTCAAGGCGCATACCAGTGAGGACCAGATGCACGCAAGGACGCAAGTTGATTTTATCATATATGACAGCTTGATAGTCGAGTTTTAGTCTGAGACATAGAACGTCTGTTGTCCTAATTTTTCTATTTATTTTTTGATTTTTATTTAAGATCACATACAGAATACACTACTGCTGAGATAATGAACTCTCTACTTTTTTTCATGGTTTCAAAAGAAGATAAAAGATTTATCAAAAGGAAGAAATAATTTTCAAACTTTGCTTGTTTTTTTCCTTTAAAATTCCACACAAAAATTATAGAGATGAAATTCCTTTTTCAATTTCCAGATGTCTCGAAATCAACTTTCACCACGGTTTGTAAGTAATTCATCTTGTAACCACTTTTCCAGCGTGGAAAAGCGACTCGGGGCGGTTCCAAGAAGTTGCGCCTGCGCGGTAGCCATCCAGTGTCATAGTCTGTCGTGTGACCCCTTTTTTTTCGCGCGTGCGCGTTCGTTGACATCATATACTTACTCTCTATTCACATCTTTCACCTTAGCACCGCAGACCGGAAATGAATAGACAAGAAGTCATCCGTGTCCACAGGCGAAAGAAAAAAAGGTATGAGCGACGGGAGATGGTTACTGCAGAACCTCCACTATGGTATCACCGTCATAACTTGAGAGCTGTTGAGGGATTTTTTTGATTGGTAGCATTGAGAAGAGACAATGAAAAACCTCTAGAAAAGGATCCGAATTTAGTTATCACATCGCAAACAAAATCGAATCATCCAGAGAAAAAAAAGGAGATGAAAATAGAATTGGGAAAAACAAAAAAATTAAATTTTTTGGAATAATCAATTCTACTATATATAGTTATCCCAACTCGCGGGCTTGCAGTTTCTACATTAATGATAATAATGAGCAAATAGATACTAATTTCCTTGCTGTAGGGTACGATCTATTCAGTTTTTCCCCGTCAAATGAAGGGAAATCACCGTTATTAACGCGCTACATTTCTTATCCACTGCAATGCATCCTATGTATTTAGATGACTCGGGGTAGTTTCAATTGTACTTCCGAGTCAGCTTTCGAGCTCAGGACTTCGCTGGATCGGCTTCCTATGCCCCAAAACCAGAACAAAGGTTTCAATTTGACCAAAAGCGAAGACGAAGAAAACTCTATGGAGAATGTTTTCGACGATACATAGGGCTGAGCAGCCTCAGCCTGAGGGCTATGCATAAATCTGAATCTAGATATGAATTTTGCGGTCCCCGAAAAGTTCTCGAAGAGTTGCATTCCTGATACGTATATGAGTATCAGCACAGATTCACGCTGTTGACTCAAAGGCGTTCATCGCAAGCACTTCACAGAAGAAACGAAACTTGAAGCAAGGGTCCTTTCACGATACGTTGAGTAATTTTTAGCAGTGGGGCATCAAAGAAATGCGTTTTCTAACAGGTGGAAAAACTAAGATTCCAATTCCTGTTCAATAGCAATGAAGCCTCCACACCCTCATTAACGTGTTCACGACATCTGACCACCGTCGTAACGTGCATCAAGTTCGCCGAGACAGTTTCGAATGCACTTTCTGCAGCTTCCAGTGTTTTTCTGTGCCTAACATCAGAGAGAAAATTCAGTCCAATTATAGCCTAGACTGAGTCACGATGAGTCTGTGGAGAATGTTAGAGTAAGGTCAGGAGTTTCAACAGGAGTTTCAACTTGTCATGTACGACGTCTACATGCAAGTCGAGGATACCTCACGGCTTAAAATTCATTGCATGCACTAGTAACAATTACATTGAACGAGTTTTCTTGTTGCTCGGGCTAGACCCTGAGAACTGAGGCAGTTACTTCTACACCTTGAGTATTCCGAGTGGTAGCGTCAATGAGTGCCAACTCTGATAGATCTGAAATACGCTAGTACTAGCACCCCACCTGGGAGTTAAGAGGAATTCTCGAAGTAGTGTCAAGCAAAAAGGTGTCAAGCAATTAGAATTCAATATTTTTTTTGGTCGTAATACTAATTGCAACGTTCACTTCATTAAAATTTTGCATTCATGCTCTAAGTTGCTGGGGGTTGGCGTATCCAACTGATTGGTTCGAAGTGGCTTTAACACTGTTTTAATTTTAGTACTTCTGCGGTCGATACTACGGAAAAGTTTCGGTCTATCTGTTGCCGGGAGGCGGAAGTTGCAAAGAGCCTCAAGGCTTCAATATCACATCCAGATCGACGGTGCTCAGCGCCTGGTTCTCCAGAATTAGGTGGAATGTCTTCGGTTCTGCGGTGGAGAACTCCTTCGCGCCAACGACTCCTTTAGTTGTTGGTCCCCATATAAGGAAATGAAGCATCACCAAACTCAGTGCTTCAACTTCTGCTTAAACGCCACAGAAACGTTTAGTCTAACCATTGCCAAGACGCGCAGGTTGACGACACCGTTCCGAAAACGGAAGACCTTTAATTACCAAAAAGTTGGGGATGAACGTGGAGGACGAATGACACGCCAGGGAGAAGCGATTTCATTTGCTTGACAAAGTTTCGATAAGAATCGGACGCGCTTAAAAAACGTGTTGGATCTGTTGATGAAAGGGTCTGGGATCCAAACTTCAGTAATCATCAATCTTTCCAGGCCTCCTCTTCCTCCAGGCGTGCACAAAGCCAAGACCCTCAGGATGCACGACTCCACTTAAATCGTTCTGGGGTATGAACCAAATATGAGCCAAATCAAAGGAACACAGTGGACTGTGATCATTGATGATAGTCTTCAGTGTATGAAATAAACGAGGCCGGTTGTGAAACTTACTGTTACCGGGCCGGGAAAGTTGATAGTCGATAGTCGGTGCCTTCCGGTCCAAACAAGACCAAATCGGTGACCGTAAGTAGCGCAGACCAACCTCAGTGGAGAATTGCCGTCCGATACCGTGACTTTATCTAGTAATGCATGTACGCCCTCAATGCCATAATGAACCCTGGCTGTTTCGATCACATACTCCGACAACAAAAATTTCTGCTCCT